ACTCCAAGTCCTTACCTTCATCCTTTTGTCGCATCGTCTCTTGTAAATACAGATCCTTTTGTTGTGTAGTTCCAACTTGAGTGAGGAAATTATTATTGATCTTCAAGATTCCAAGGTACAGACTGTTGGGTCGTAGCTCCACTAATAAATTCAAATCTCTGAATTCTTCAATCAGCTTTCACTCTTTCATCATCAGAGCTGAGATATGCAAAGATTTTCTATTCAGTGCATCTACAACTACGTTTGCTTTCCCAGGATCCTAGGACAACGTAATGTCATAGTCCTTCAAATATTCTATCCATTTTTATTGTCACATGTTCAACTTCTTTTGATTAAACAGGTACTTCAAACTCTTGTGATCACTGAAGACCTTGAATCTTGCTCCAAAGAGATATTGTCTTCAAATTTTTAGTGCAAAGACCACTATTGCTAGTTTTAAGTCATGCGTAGGGTAATTGACTTTATGAGGTTGCAATTACCTAGAAGCATACATAACTACTCTCCCAGTTTGCATCAATACACATCCTAGTCCTTGTCTTGAAGCATTGCAAAACACCGCAAACTTTTGTTCTAGATCTGGTAGAATCAACACAAGTGTAATGTCGACCTTTCTTTAAGTTTCTAGAAATCCTTCAATGAATTTTCTATAATAATCGGCAAGTCCTAGAAAACTTCAAATTTTTCTTAACCATTGAGTCACTTCTTCTACTTCACTAGGTCAACCATGATTACTTCCTTTGACACTACATGACCCAAGAATTGTATCTGCGATAGCCAAAAGTTGCACTTCAAAAACTTAGTGTATAATTGTCTCTCACTCAAAATCTGTAAGACAATCTTCAAGTGCTGGACATGTTCATTTTAGCTCTTCGAGTAGATTAGAAGGTCATCAATGAATACCACTACGAACTGATCCAGATACTAATGATAAATCCTATTCATATAGTCTTTAATTACTGCTGGAGCATTAGTCACACTGAAAGACATGACTAAATACATGTAGTGACCATAGCGAGTTCTAAACACCATCTTAAGAATATCTTCATTCTTGACTCGTATCTAGTGGTAGCGTGATTGTTGATCAATCTTTGAGAACATAGAAGCCCTTTGTTGGAAAGAGGATACTTGTTCTTTATGGTTACTTTGTTCAACTGTCAATAGTCCACACACATCCTCACACTCTCATCTTTCTTCTTCACTAAGAGTACAAGAGCTCCCCATGACGACACACATGGTCTCACAAATTGCTTCTGCAACAAATCTTCCACTTGTTTTTTAATCTCAACTAACTCTACCGACAACATCCTATAAGACGCAACATAATCTAGGCTTACTCTTAGCGTGAGATCGATTGTGAACTCAATCTTTCTTTCTGGTGGCAGTTTGGTTACATCCTTTGAAAAACTTCCAAGAATTCATTTACCACGGGTATATGCTCAACCTTCACACCCTTCTCTGCCTCAAAGGAAAACATTATCAAAAAGGCCTTGGTACAGATCGTGTTTCTCAAGTTACCTACATTAGGCCTATATTATATGTATACATATTTCCTTTAATGATGATGATGTAATCATTGAACGACGATGCCTTTGTATTTTAAATGTGATGTCGTATGTCAATAACGGTTTGAAATGACTTGGATTATGTATGTGTGAGTTGTATAGTTGCTGAATAAGTGCATTTGCAGTGTCGAGAGGTTGCTGTGTTTGATATAATTAGTTGTGAAGGTTTAAGATCAATTGTTAGGTGTGATATGTGAATGATAACCTAAGAATTATAGCCACGACTTGTATTGCCTCATTCTAGGAAGAATTAGAGGTCCTGGATGCAGGGTGTCTTGCTCAAGTGAGACTGAATCATACTGAATTAGGCATTATAGAGTGTTCTCGCTCAAGCGAAACAAAATAAGTCCTACCCAATTGTCCTCTCGTCCAGGCAAGAGGGGATCTCGCTCAGGCAAAAAGTGACCTTGCTCAGGCAAGGATGGTCCACCCAAGCAAAAGTTAGGCTCGTTCAAGCAAGAACACGCAAATTTGGAGGAGTATTTGAGGAACCCTAGCCCTAAAAATGTTCATATCTCACAAACAACTTTTCCTCCTCCGTTCTCTCATATTCTCTTCTAAGAGAAAACTCTCTTGAACTCTAACTCTTTTCTGGATTCAAGCCCGAATGTCTATTCCATTCATATCCAAGTAAGTTTCTTGAAGCTTGGTTTTCCAACTTCATTTCTCTTTCTCAATTTTCTTTAATCTAATGTTTTATGCTTTATGATACTTAAGGAAACCTTAACCCTTAAGATGATATCCTCCATTGGGACGTTGTACCCCTCTCTTGGATCTTTAGGAAAACTCAATCTGAGAGATCCATTTCCAAGTAAGGAGAGTTGATATTTAACTCTAACTCTTTTTTGATATTTTGGTTTGAAAATACTAAGTTTTTCTATTAGAACCCTACAATTCTAATGTTTCCTCAAAATCTCAAGTGTAGGAATAGAGATTTTTAACATGAAAAACCCATAATTATTTTTAGAACTAGTTAAATACAATTTGTAGCAAAAGCTCTTAACAAAATCATTTTTTGAGAAATATTATGATTTTACTAGTGGACATTGTTAAGAGGTAGTTAAGATTACTATTTGATATTTTTGAATAATAGACAATAATGAATATTGGATGATGCCAAACTTTAGGATAGATGACGTTATAAATACCAAGAAAGTGTGTATATTGAATTGTATGATTGGTCTGAGTTTAGAGGTGTTCAACCTTCAGCACATTGTATTGATCTGTGCAGCAGTATGAAATTGATTGATGATCTTTATGTATTAGATGATATAATAAATATGAATATTGTATGATAGTTAAGGTGTGTTGAAATTGGTAGATTTATATTATTGATGAAGAATGTTTGAACGTTCTTGGAGAAAAAGTATTATGTACAAAAATGAATAATATAACAAGATAGTGGAATGATGAGAGGTGTGATTATGATACGTGAATCATAATCAATTGATGGATGTGATTATGATACAGGTATTGTAATACATCGAAGGGTGTACTTATAATATATGTATAGTAATACATTGATTTATATACTTGTATAATATTGATTTATAATACATGTATGGTAATACTTACATATTATGACATGTATAGTATTGATCTATGAACTTATAATAAAATATCTCTTTAAAAGAAGGATTAAACAAATTAACGAAGATATATAATTTTATTTTTATTCTTAATATTTTGTTCTTCCTTTGAATGAAAATAAAATATATATCCAATTGAGCCTTAAAATATATATAAAATTAAAATTATACATTGCAATATATTTTTAGTTAACAAGTATTCATGTGACAATTAACAATAACAATAGCTAGATAGGTTATTGTTTTTACATGTATTTTTAAATGAAATAAAAAATATTTTAAAACTAAATTTCAAATTAATAGCTTTAATATCATAAGTTTTCTTAGGCTTTTATTTTTAATCAATTTATTTTAATTCATGCAACAATTTATAACAATGTATAAATTACTCTATCATTTGCATGTTAAAAAGTTTGATGCATAAGAATTTTTTTTAACTTTATGATAATATAAATAAATAAATAATTTTAAAGTAAAATTTATAATTTCTTTAATTTAAAACAAATAAATTTTCTTTAATTCATATGATGATGTTATAATAGTGATGTCTAAACTACTCTATCATTTGTACGTTGTAAAATCATAAGGCTATTAATTTAGCTATATATACTATCTAGCATTACACATATACGTGAATTATCATTAATATCAATTTTTTCAAAACATCTGATATTTTATTATTATTTCCTATAAAAATATATAGCCAAAAATAAATATTCACTTTAATTCACACAACAATGTTATAAAGATAATGAATAAACTATTCTATCATTCATGCATTGTAAAATCATAAGGGTATCAATATAGTTAACACTATCTATTTAGTACCTGTACACGTGAATTATCATTTAAAAACATCAGATGTTTTATTACTGTTTTCTCTAAAAAAAAATAAATAGTAAAAAATAAGTTTTCAAATTAAAATAAAACTTAATGATAATGATGTGTAAATTATTTTATCATTCACAAATTATACAATAATAAAATTAAATTATTTATCATATCTTTAGAAAGAAAAATAAAAATTAAAAAAATATATTTTTCTAAATCATTTTAATAATCTCGAAGGGTCAACTTTCATTGTTAAGATATCTTTCAAAAAAATTTCTATTTAAAACTACGTAGTCTTAATTTTTCCATGACATTGAAAAATATAGTATGCAGAAGAAAGAATCAAAACCTACGGACCCAATCATTTTAAAACCTTTTTTTTTTTTAATCTTTTTTAACAAACAAAATATCATATTTAAGACAAATGTGTTTGTAAGATGTCATGGATGTAATACCTTCCTACGCATAATTAGGCTCTCAAAGTTGAGTGGACAATATTTTTCAAAATTGTCCATGCTTTTGCAAATTGAAAAAATTCACCAACGGTTCGGAATTTATTTCCATGCTTAAACTTTACGTTAGTAAAATTTGGCAAGATGACAAACCAAAGGCTACAAGAGAAAGTTATAACTTTTAAATTGTAGGCACTTATTGAATTTTACTTGAAAAGTATAAGAAGTTTCAGTTTTGTTGATTTTTTAAATATAATATACACACAACAAAGTTGTAAATACACAAAAGTTGTGTGGATAGTAACATCAACTTATAATTTATTAAAAGTTTGTAGTTAAATTTTTAAAAAATAACATTCTTGTTGCTCAAATATTAATAAGCTAGCTGCAAAGCTACAAGCTTGCTGTCAATACAAGCATTTAGATCGCCAAAGCCATATATCAATTCTAACATTTTTAGCAACTTCAAATAAGGATCTACCTAAATATGAAGCACTGCAATAATTTGTAAGCATCGAGTATGGTAAGAAGAAGAGGTGCTATGTAATTACCATTATGAGACAGTATTAATTAAAATCCAATGACGAAAACTCAAGAAGTTGTGGGTTACGCTCAAATTCGAGCATGTCACGAGTAGTCAAGGTTACCCATGCCTCTATGCCATCCCCATCCTTTGTGGCCATCAAAATTACGACATTTTTTATAGGCACACCAATTGTGCGCACATAAGTTGGCTTGCCCCATCCAAAATCAGCTTCATAAAACTCAAATTTTATCCAACTGCTAAAGCCATGACATGGAATACCCTTTTCCGCAGCCATTACCCATGATTCTAAAGAGTTAATTACCTTAAAAAATTCAGCTCCTTGAAGTTTACTTATATAGTCTCCGTCAACTTTTCTTATAGTTTTTCTCACTATCTCTGCCAAATCGTGCAACCTTATTTCGCCACTCACTTCCACCAGCGAAGACACTGCTGGTTGCCAGAGATTTCCAATTGAATGCTTCGACAAAGTTGGGGCCATTCTACTACGAATGTTCACCGCGTGGACCATAATAGATGCTGGACATTTTTGTTCCCCTGAAGTTGCTTTTGCTGCTTCCAATGATGATTTCCAAATGAGTGCTGTCACAGCTTCAACACGTGTGGGATTGAAATTGAAGCACCCCAGTTTTTGTTTTAGTCTAGATATGTCACTCTCATAAAATACCAACCTCTTTGTGACGAGGTTTTTGTGGCCAACCAGGCCACGTGTCATGTCCATCTCTATGTTCCTTGGTGGGAAAAGCTGGGTTGCTTCCTCCAGTTGAGCTGGTGCCACAATGTTATTGCCTTGTCCTTTCGATGTTGAAGCCCAAGCATTGAGGAATGATGCTGCTGTGGAACCATCAGCAATCTTGTGTGAGAAGCACACGCCAAGTGCTATACCCCCACACCTGAATTCGTTCAATTGAATTGCCATGTTTTCATTGTGTTCTGCTGGAGGGTTGTAAGGATCAAAAGGGAAAAGTTCATTGATCTCATGAAGTTGAGGGGATTTCAAAATGTTTGAGAGTTCAGTGGAAAATTTATACTCAACGAATAGAACACCCTCATCATTGCACTCAACAGACGAGTTACCTTTGAGTCTTCCACAAAATGGGTAATAGAGTGTGAGGATGGTAGATAGAGATGCTTTTAACTTATTAGATATGGTTTTGAAATTAATGCCAAAAGCAGTGACATCAGGGGCAGAGTAAAACAAGAGAATGGGGACATAAAATGATGGAGGGGCCAGTTGATCAAGGAGGGAGATTTTGAAGTTTCTAAGATGATCAGGGGTTGGAGAAGATGGCTTTATTGTGTCCTTAGATACAAGCTCACCTTTCACTACCATTTTCTTTGGGTGAATTTCTGACACTATGGGTATAGCTATGAATGAGTTTAGCATACTCGGGGAAACGTTGTGGCCTTATATACAAAATATTTTGTCCTTATCTCTTTAAAATATTAGGTATGATTTTGTTATATTATATCTCACCACCTCTTTCTTTCTGAGGATAGGAAAATGAGGAAAACATAAATTATTATACGCTGCGTTTTTACTTATTTCATTTAATTAGTTATGCTATATGTGTCATATATGTATTTTTAATTTGCATTTAATATTTGAAATATAATAACTGATCAATACTTATCTTGATTTTAAGAAAAGTTTACAAAAATTGTTGTTATATTTTTCAAGAATATTAAGTTTAGAATGTTAAATTTTGGTATTTTGTGTGATTATTATAAAAAATATTAGTTTTGTTTGGATGAATTTATGAAAAAGTATTTAAAAAAAACAGTATAAATAATGAATAAAACTATTTTATTAGTTAAAAATAATTTATTTCTATGAAAAAAATGTATAAGTTGTTTTTAATTTAGGGGAGAAGTTTTATTCATTTTTTATACTAATTTTTTTATATATATGTAAAAAAAATGTAAGCATAATGTTGATGGATAAAAAAACATTACACACCAAACATCTTCTAGAAAAGGCAAATTTGTTAGCCATAAAGTAAAATCAACATAAACAATGGTAGCTTTAAGACCAGACTATATTTGAGTAAACAATACAGCACTTACACCATGTGGGAACAAGGGGTTCTTATTTTTAAGCATTTAGAGGAAGAAATTGGTAAAGCCACGTGCATTATTTGATTTACTCCACGGAATTCAAATACTAGTTATTTATTACAAGTTAGCTGTTTCATGGTCCAAAAAGATAGCTAGCTACCATAGTTAGTCACAAAATCTATTAGCCATCATTCTCTGTCTTTATAATTTAGCTCCGAAGGTAGGAAAATGTGACTTTGACGTGTGTTGTTGAATAAAATATTATCAGGAGCTAAAACACTGAACACTGATATTGATGTTGTACTAAACCATGCATGTTTTAGTTTTGGGGGATATCGACACACCCTGATTATCTATGTGGTGGATGATTTATTAGTGGTTGCTTGTCAAAAAAAGATAAAACTTAGTACATGTTTGTTTACACATTTTGAAGTCAGATTTATGTTTTAAAAATTAAAAGAAAAACAAAAAAAAATGTTGTTTGATGGACTAATTTCTTTTTAAAAGTAATATCTCTTTTTGAGTTTTGAAGATATAAAATTCCATGACATCTAACTTGTTTCAAAACATTGATACATGCCCCGTCTTTCTTTCTTTTTCTTCTTTTTGGGTCTAATTTTGGTTTTTAAATCAAGGTTTCAAACGATGGAGGCACCTTGGGAGGAGGCTTAGGGAAAAGGTGAGGGAGGAGAACTTGTGTGGATCCAAATTTGGAGGAACAAGAGAGTGGGAGGAGTGGGTAGGTGATTTTGAAGAGAAAGTGATTACACAAAATGGAGAGGTTGAAGATTCTGAGTTAGGTTCCATGATAGATAAATTTACAAGATAGTTCATAATTCATATCCAATGCTAAGGCTTTGGTTTCTTTGCCTTTGAGAGGGAGTGGAGGTGGAAATTGTTGCCATCATACATTTTTTTTTTTTTTTTGTGTTCTCAACAATAGTTTTTCAAAACATTATGAAAAACTTAAAACAAAACAAGGAAAATTAAGTGTTTCAAACTAACCCTTGAAACATTTTCGTTAGCATGATTGACTAGCTGTCAAGAATTAAACATGGCAAGGGAACAGGGAAGAAGAAGTAATGAATGAATTCTAAAAGCTCTATGGAAAAGAATGAGAAGAATTCAACATGCATACGATACACAAGGGGATTGCAATATATACTACAAGAGTACAAAATAATTACAATAGAACAATTACTGTTAACTAAAATAAAGCGACTTGCAATAAATTATGTGGCTCTAACATTTCAAAACTTGGACTGAAGCTTATGAAAGGGTTCATCGGCAAATGGCTTTCTCAAAATATCAAGCCCATCGAGAATGGGAAGAATTAGGTAGAAAGTGTAGAGTGACATCCTAAATTTAGTCTCAAAGCTCATGACAATTATTTTCATTGTACTTTGTCTGTTAATGAAAAATATGAGCAAAATCATGAACCTCTATCTAGATATTAAAAAAGGTAAATTCGTCATTAAGCTTCACATGTTGCTTGAGCTGGACTCGAACCGCTGACATCCGTCACAGGATAAACCACTGCCTCTCAGACTCCAACTGATTCTAGCATAGAGATCAACGATAGACAATAACTCCTCCCAAACACAGCTTACAATTTTCATCGTACTGTACTCTCCAAAGAGCAATTCTTTTCAAAATCTCAAAAGGTACTGAGTTGGAATCCCATTCTAACTAAGGATTCTTGTGGTTTTGGAGGATCCAGCTACAGGAGAACCAGGAACAGAGAGCTTTCCCCCTCCTTTTTCGCCTGACTCTTCTATATTCTTCTTCATATTAGAACTTTGAGACAATATTGAATGTGGATGAGATAAAGAAAGAGCTCAAGCTACCAATTCCAAAATCATAATTCAAAAAGGTAAAATATGTAAATTTAAAATTTTCAATTCAAATTTTAAATATAAAATTCACTTATTCTTTTACCTTTTTTAGCATCTTTTCTTTACATTTTAGCTCATTTTAATAAAACTTCAGAATCACAATTTCCTGTAATAAAATCAAAAGGAATTTATCTAATTCAAGGGATAAAATAGAAAATTTAACAAAAATTAAGTCAAAATTTAATAATCTTTTTTTATTATTACTAGATTTAATTTTCATACTATGTGCGGATATAAAAATTGATTTTATTTAAAATAATTAATAATAAAATATTATAAAAATATACTTTTATTATTATTCAATTTTTAAAAAATATATTTAATTACTAAATTATAAATTTAATTAAATTTTTTGGTAAGACAAAATATTTATGGACATTTGACATTATTGGCAAATAATTATATTATTTGCAATAATGATAAAAGTTATTAAAATAAGTTTTCTTTTTTTTTTTTTATCTTCTAGTTGTGGAGAAAACAAACCTCTTATAATGACATGTAAATGTTATTGCAAAATATAAGTATTTAATGCTTATAACTTTAGGTTATTGAAAAATAGTCAATACCAAATATCTTATTTCTTGTAATGCAATTAAATCCATTTATCTTCATAAATGGTGGACAAATGATTCTCTAATGAAGCTTTATATTTATTGTCAAATCAATTAAACTCATTTATCAATCCTTCTAGAAGGATAACGTTATATTCATTGTTGAATTACTAAGTTAAGTCCATTGATTTTCACAAAATGGTTGAAGATTAGAAATGACTCATCAACCAAAGGAAGTTCATCAATTTGGTCAAATAGTTAGTAGTGATAAATCACATATTACTAGTATTTTAGCTCAATTTTTAATAGTTGTTCATTAATAAAGTTGATTCATAAAGCTCAAAATCACATAAAATTTTTAAATGTTTAATGTTCTTTGAGTAGGTTAGTTATTTTAGATTTTATATAATTTTTTATATAATTTGCTTATTAGAATGAATTTTTGTAGAAAAATCTGAACTGGAAGTCATGAGGCTGAGATTCAAAGCAAGAAAAAAGAAGAAAGTGAAAAAACTGGACTAAAAGACCCTAGGAATGTTCATTTATAGTGATCACTTCAACCTAGGAATGTTCTAAAAGACCCTCTACGTGTTCACTCTATGCATTCAACGTGAACAAGTCAAAGAGGCGGGAAAAAAATATAAATACAAATTCAGTTTAGAGATGGAGGATCTTTTGTTATTTTTTCTTTCCTATTCATTTTCTTATCTTGATAGAGTTTGGGGATGAACGCAAAGCTTCACATCTTGAGGAATCAGATTAAAGATGTTTCTCTGCTCATCTCCTTCTTTTCCTTTCTCTTTTCATGTTATAATGGCTTTCTAAACTCTTTGTAGTTAGGGATTTATGGATATGATGTCAGGCTTGTGTTGCGTGTATACCTATTTTCCTTTAGAACTAATGATGTATTATGTAATGCCCCAAATTTTGTAACATTAATTATTATTATTTATATAAATCTAAATGCATAGTATGTATTGTGTGTATGCATGACTGGATAGGGTTGAAATGGGCTAAGTGCCTAAGTGCAGAGAGTAATTCTAGGCTATTCTTTATGCAGCGAGAGAATTCTCATTGTAGCGAGAGGGCCCTAGGAAGAAGGACTGGAACTATCACCTTCTCGCTGTAGCGAGAGAGCGACAATTTGGGGTGCATTTTTGGGTGCAGTCTCGCTATAGCGAGATTCTGCAGAAACCAAGGTGCAGTTTCGTCTGATATTTTTGCTGCAGCGAGAGGGCGTGTTGCTGCAGCAAGGGGACCTCACTGCAGCGAGAATATCTCGCTGCAACAAGAGTGTCGCGACCAGAAAAAGATTTAAAGGGGGTTAGCGTTCGGGGAGGGTTATTTCTCCATCTCTCTTCAAAATCCCTTTGATCCTCTCGTTCCAAACCCTTTTTCACCGATTAAATTGCCTCCAAAGCCGTTCGTGAGCTTGATTGAGGATTGAATCCGCGTGAAGAACGCTTGGAGGTGAGTTTTAATGGTTAGAGTTCCGTTTCTCATCCCCTTTTTTCTGTTTCTCAGTTTTCTTGGATTCTCATGGAGTTCTTCCATGTGTTTTAGGCCGAAATCTGTGTAGGGAGCATGTCTGTGGTCGAATTGAGTGTGGGTCTTCAATCCAAGGTAAAGGGGACTCTACCCTATCTCAATGTGTTATAATTCTTGTGTGTTTTGTTGATTAATGTAATGTGGCTGAGATAAGGAGTAAAAATTACGTGTTGAATGGAAATTGGTGTGCAATGTGATGTGTGCTGGAATAGTTAGGCCCCGTGGGGTGATTGTGTGTGATGGAATGCCATTGATTGGTGAATTAATGATATTGTGAACAA